TTCCTGCGCGCTTTTGCCTTAAGACGGGGTGAGGGTTGCATGGGCGCTGGCCGGCACCTCAGTCCGTGCTGAAAGGGTTTAGGGTTCAGGGTTTAGGGTTCAGGGTTCAGAGTTTCGGGTTCAGGGTTGAGGGTATAGAATATAGGTAGTTCTCTAAATCAGGGTCCCTGTTGAGGTCCCCAATATAGTGGGGCGCTTTTTGTAAAAAGGATCCTAAAGGGGACCCTCATTTAGAGAACTACCCATATACTGATAGCCCGGCAACACCTCAGGAGGCCCGGCTGCAAAAGGACAAGGGAAACGGATACTCAGAGCTATAGTCCCTGTGCACGACAAAGGACAGTTCAATTTCCCCGGAGCCTGTGATATAGCATACGTTGACACACACACACAAATATAGATACAAAGGAATCAGGTAGAATCTTGTATATACTGTATTATATAAGGTCTGTCGGCGGCATTACGCATTATCAAGACCTTGATGAAACCGAGCCGCACGCCCCTAAACCCTAAACCCTGAACCCTAAACCCTAAACCCTAAACGGGCTCTGGGGTCCAGCGCTTTCAGATGAGTGTGGGAGTTCAAAAACTGGTACAAACGACGCAAAAAAAAAACATGGCGGGACGAGGGAGACGCTGTGAGAGCGAATATCAAGGGGACCGAGAATCTGAGATGAAGGAGGGATGAAGCCATTTTGGCTGTGAGCATGCATGCAAGGGCTCTTCACACATCAAACCTGGCTCTCTAGGCCTTCTTCTACATGCCTTCTTAAGAAAATAGGATATTTACAAGTTTGGTGTGTGATAGATGCGTGTCCCTGCACTACTTCTTTTCGAAACCGGTCTACATGAACATCGTGAAGACTAGAATTGGGTGCATGTTGAAGTTGCCCCTTTAGACAACCTCGCCTGTGAGCATAGTTCTCAGCCATGCGAGAGGGAAAAACCCTAAACCCCAAACCCTAAACCCAAAAGCAAGCCGTACAGGCTCTGGGGGCCTTCTTGTCTCACAACTGGGAAGCAGACGGCTCTTCGAAAGTGGTCGCGCTCACGCTGCAGACATCCTGGCAGCTTTGGACTTATTATTGTGCGGTTTTTTCTGGTTTAGGGAGGGCTGAGGGTGTTGCTAGTTGCTAGTACAATAGTGTTGTACTTGTTTTATTGCGAGCCTGGTTGTTAATTATGCTTCTTGTTATTATTGCTGCTGGGATGGCCGATGGATCAGAGTTCGAGGCTTCATGCAGGGTTTGGGACCGAGGGCATTGGGGATCCACTGTGTCGTGAAGTCATGATGTGTAGGGCTTTGGTTGGCTGCAGCACGTGGATTTGGGTGTCGTTTTGGGGCCTTGGACCCTGCACCCAAGATGCAAAGGCCCTAAACCCTAAACCCTACAAAGGAGGCTCGTCCGAGAGTGGGTGCTGAAACCCTACAAAGGCCTGTTCAGGTTGTTTTCCAAATTTAAGTATCGAATCTCTGGCTGAGCTTTGCAGCAGTTCATTACTGGTCCGGGCCGAGGGGGTTAGGGAGGGGAGGTCTACGAGCCAGAGATGCATTAATCCTTGGACCGTCCACCCCGTGTAAAGCACTGCAGCCTGGCACAACGGTAGGAAAAGTGCTAAAAGCAGGGTTTAAGGGTTGAGGGTTTAGGGTTTACTGCTACTGCTACTGCTACGATTATTAGGTATATTTTCAATCCCAACAGCAATATGAATAACAGCAATCATAGTAGTAAAATGGTATATGAATAGACCCAAATACGCATATTCCTTGATTACCGGTTCTCAGTGGCCTCACCGGCTGCCCAAATCGCCGAGATCCCCAAATTTGCTTAACTTGACGATGCGGGTTGGGGTTTAGGGTTTAGGGTGGGGTTTAGGGTTGCTTCCCCAAAAACGCCCCTAACTAGGAAAGCGGCAAGCCACCCATTTAACGCCGTATCTGAGACCTCTAACCCCTCGCGAAGCCCATATGAAACCCCACTTTAAGAGCAGCTAAAGCTCATATAAGAACTCCACCCCCAAGCCCCCGACCCCTCTTAGGCCCCTTCTGTTGGCGTGCTGGCTTTTGGTCGCATGCCGCTGTCGCACGCATTCGGGTTTAGGACACTAAGCTGCTTTTTTTCAGGACTTGTCCGGGTTTCTATGAACTTTTCCCTCGTCGGAGTTTCTCCGGCCAGAGAGTCTTTTTTATAAGGGTTCTTTAGGCTTTGGGGAGCCTTGAGTTGATCATGAGGCTTCTGGGCTTTCCCGCTGCTCTGGGGTTGACGGTCTAAGGCCCACTGTCCTAGGCATTCTTGGGAAGTCCCCTTTAAGGGGACCCTTCTTTACCCTACTTTTGGCTCTCTTAAAAAGGGACCGTATTGAGAGGGTCTATATCCCCAAGGGCTGTGTTAACGATCCTCTGAAGACAGTATCGTGGTGGACCTTGCCAGGCTTGTCCGAGTGTGAGTGTCAAAAAAATCCGTGAAATCTCAAGACGTTTGGATGTTTCCATAGCTGTGACAATGTGCACTGCTTTGTCGGGGTTGCTGCACCGGAGAAGTTCTAAGGCCCAGACAAAATTCGGACATGAGTTTAGGGTTTAGGGGTTTAGGATTTAGGGTTGAGTCGCTGCAGACCGGACGCGAGGATTTAGGGTTGATAGGGCTTCGGGATTTAAGGTATAGGGTTTGGGGTTTAGGGGTTTAGGGGTTTAGGGTTGAAGGGTTTGGTTTCAAAATTCAAGAGAGGTTCAAGGCTTAACTAGGGTTGACTCGAGTCACTGGGACCGAAGACCCCCGATCCCGACTAGTTAATAGTTAGTGCAATGTACTAAACCCTAAACCCTAAACCCTAAACCCTGAGCCTGGAGACTCCCGAAGCCACGTAATCCCAAACCCCAAACCCTAAACCGATGCCTTTTGTCTCCTTCTCGGGATGCCTCTATAACTGAAGATCTGTGGGCAGTCAGGAAAGGGTGCCTTACATCATATCAGGGATGCTTCTATGCTCAATTCAGGCGCTTTGGGTTCTCTGGGAACCTCCTAAACCCCGACCCCAAGCCCGAAATTCTGAAACCCGAAACCCTAAACCCCCAACTCCAGAGATGTAGAGCTCCGGAGTTCGATACGTGCAGCTCAGGCGTCTTCTTCACACTTGGCTTGCTTGAGATCCTTCCCATGCCGTTTATCAACGGCCCGGTTTGGGGTTGAGGGCTTAGGACCTTTAGGGTTTCGGGCTTACTTTTAGGGTTCAGGGCTTAAGGCCTTTACGGTTTGGGGCTTAGGGTTTAGTGGGATCGGCGATGTCACTGTAGGCTCAGGATTCGCGACTTCGGGTGCACGGGATCAGCGCTTGCGGCTGCTATGTACCTGGCTATCTCTTGAGAGATTGGAAGCAAACCACCTAAACTCTAAACCGAAACCCCGTCCCCCCAAATCGGAACATGGGGCTTGTGAATGCTTATGCGTGTCTTGCTTGGGGTCCCACCAAGTCTACTTGCGGCACTTTGAACACCAAACATTAAAGCTACTTGTACAGCGCACTTCGGGCTTGGAGCTTAGGATTCTTAGGGGGTTTTGTTTTGTAATTTAGGACTTTAGGTTTTTTTAGGGTGTTGCTCCTGACTTGAATCCGAGTCCCCGAGAACTGTGGCCAGCCCCCTGAAGGCTCGCGCGAGGACAGAAATCCACTCAGCTGTTGGATTCTCGGATTATCTTCTTTGCCATCATCTTTCTTGTTACTCCTGTCGTTGCCTCCCGATAATCATGTATTCTACACCCTAGACCCTGAACCCTAACCCTAACGCCGACAACCTAAAGCCTGTGCCCGAAGCCCTCGAGACTTAAATCAGTCTCCTGAGTCTCCTGCGATCAAGTCTTACCTAGCCCTAGCCCAGTCTTAGGGAGCTTGGGAATGGTTTAGGGCTTGGGTTCAGGTTTCAGCAGTTTGGGCTTTAAGATTTGTTGTGGAATTGCGCGCACTTGCGAAAGATCTGGACCCAAGCCC